AGCAGATCGCATTCAGTATTCTCTCTACTCTGCTTCTTCTTGTGATTGTGATGCCAAAAATGACACAAAGCCTTTGCCTTTGCAGGCACTCGCTCGGATTGACCAGCTCGAGCAATTCTGACATAATACTGATAACTGTGGTCATGTAAAGTTGCCACGTCCTCATCTCGTCTGGGTCGGCGCTGTTTAACCCTATTGACCTCAATGAAAGTGGCAAGCAAGCTATCTTGTTGGTCTTTGTGGGGAAGGCTGTTAAAATTAAAAGTTAAAATGTTTTGTATTTATTTGTAACACAAGTGCATTTCGCTCATCGCTTGTCGTGTGCTCAAAACATTTAAGCCGAGTACAGTTACACGATTCACCAACTTCATGACTAGAAAGTCTCTCTTTTTTTAGTAAGTCACGTTTTCTACCAACAATCTGTCTTTTTTTCGGTTTTGTGGTAACGATTGGTGATCCTGTAGTGTCAGCCATTGTCTCTTTCATAAAATGAAAACAACGAATCACGTGACCGTAAAACTGACATCTCTGGTTTTTCCCTTGAGCTTTTCATATAAATTTATAGTTATAGTACGAAACAAATCAAAATCTTCGCCAGTACAATTATTATTGGCGGACGCGGTATTCGGTATCTTTGACTAACACTGACATACCTTATTTTTTTTTGGTAATTAGTAAGCCACGGATAAAGTAAAACATCATTGGGGGCGTCCATTAATTACGTCAACAAAATAGGGAGGGGGGTGGAAATGTTTGACAGCTGTTGACAAGGGGGATGGAGCAGTGATTATTTCAGAACTTTTTCCCGGGAAGGGAGGGGGGGGGGGGGGGGACTTAAAATTTTTCGGGGGGGCAGTGCCAGTTGATTTATTGTTGGACATATTGGGGGGGGGGGGGGGGGGAACTACTTGGGTTTCCCCGGGGGCAGTGCCCCCCCCCCGATATATAGCTGAAAGAAACCCTGGAGAGGGGTTTAGATTAGTTGATGTCAACAAGTATGTATTCTCTTCTCTATTACAATTTTAATGTTAAAAATTGACTGGTTATTACATTATTATAAAAATTTTATAAATGTAAATGAGTGTAAATAGTCCTATAATTTTTGGGCTTTTAACAATATAAGATTTATTTAATGTGCGTCTGTGCACTGCAGATGGCTTGTCAGAATGTTAGCACACTTTGTCATTGTTAATGCAAGAGGAGTCAAAAGTTAGCCTATATTCCCCTGTAGATTATGTTGCAGGTATGAAACAAGAACAAGGTTCAAGTGTCACGTGCAGTCAAGATGAATGCTATTGATAGAGAAGGAATACGACATTTTAAGAATTAGGGGAATGTAACGTGAGTAACAATAATAACATCACTGCTTGAACGGATTTGCAAAATCTGTAAAGCTATTTTGCCCAAAAGTCGTGTTAAAAAGCATGTTCAACAGAACCGACAACGCCCTCCTGAGCATTAGAAATTAGCACCTGCTCCTCAACAAAAAGGATTCGACCAATGCGAGTAGCTGCACGGAGATGGAGAGAGCTTATGGCAATTATTGCTCACACCGACAATGCTTCTATTTTAAGTGCTGAATGGTTAGATGAGGATGATGTTGACTTGTCAGGTATATGAGTGCCGCAAGATGAAAATGATCAATTAGCTGCTACAGACTATGCCCATCAGGGGCGTCATTTCATTTTTTTTGTCAGGGGTGGGGTGAGGAGGGAGGGGGGCAAAACCCAAACTTGGTCGGCTGGTTAAGTTGTTTATTACTGGAGGCGCCACAGAACATACAGAGCCATTGAAATAAAAGCTACAAATTAGGTGGTGGTTATGAATTCCCCCTGCCCTACCCAAATGATGTCCCTGATGACCATTGTTACGATAGAACAAACCTGGCTACTCCTTGGGGAGATGATAGCAGCTAGAAACTATAATTGTCAACTTTACTAAAAATAATCATAATTATACCAAATACAATTATATTTAGTCTTTAACTTTAACAACCTTTCGTTTGATTCTGCATTTTAAAATTCAAACGTAAAAACTTTGTAACTTGTTGATTAACAAGCTAAAGATGTAATAAAATGTTTTTCCTACAATTTTATTGTCATTAAAATAGATCAGCACAAAGTTAAATGTATCAATGAATTTATTTATAATATAATTATTTTTTTATTGGGGGGGGGGGGGGGGAAAAATTTACAATAATTAA